TCTTTTCAAAAGAAATACTTATTTTCTTAGGATTGTGAAAAGCACACACAGAAGAGCCTTGGAGTATTACAAAACATTCTCACAGAAGCAGCAGATAACAGCAGCAAAAGGTGAACAGAAAGCATTGATTTGAGGACTCTGTACAAAGTACAAAACTCGTGGATGCAGCATGACACAAAGCAGAGTACAGGGGAGTACCTATGAGCACTAAAAGGTAAGAGGCTGCAGACACTTCCTGCCAGGGTCCCTCAACAGGAAAGTTAACTGAACAGCATCAGGAAAAAAATGACAAATTCCACATGCTAAGGTAGCTAAGCATACTTTCTAAAATGTTGTGTAAATTAGTTTAAGAGTGTTGATAAAGAGCAAAGAACATAAGATCATTTACTGTTCATTATAAAGTTCTAGTACCAAACTCTGTATTAAAAGGGTTTATATAGTTATTAAACACAATATTAAGTGATTATTTCTATTCCACCTTCCAGTTATCACAAAAAAGTAACACTTTTCTAAATTACCATATGAAAACAGTACAGAAGATACCACAAAGCCTCCCTCACCCTTCAGAAGTGCCACTGAAAGTTGGTCTGTGTTCAGGTTATTGACATATTTGCCCAGGTAGGTGTTGAGGACCCAGGCTACCAATCCTTCCAACATGACTGTCCTAGAAGGAGAAAACTAATGCTTTTCTGTCATTTTTTGGATTTCTCTTCCATAATTAGTCCCAATCTGAAAGAAAAAAAAGAAGAAAATTATTGTCTGAAATACACACTCTCAGCAGAGCTGACATCCCTGTCACTTCAATTCTTACTGAGATCTATCTAAAGAGAAGCAAAAGCACTAAGGTTTATTTCTACCTTAAAAAAGCTTTATCCTATGTCCTTTAAGTGACAAATCAGCTTCATAGAGACATTTGCACATCAAGTTCATCTTTCCATCCTTTTTCTAACCAAAACATTACCTTTTGGTGCAATAATCAACACAGAGAATCTACACTCCTCCTCCAGAAAAGGAAAGGACAAAACTCCACGTTGATCTGAAGTTTGCACTGGCCTCCTTGACCTCTGCTGCCAACATTTTCACCACGCTGGGTTTGGCAGCCTGCTCTGAAGTAACAGCCTGAAGCCTACCATAATTTTGTACAATTCTTACATGACATCTGTGAAGCAACTCACCCTACTCACACCCCTTTTTGGGAGAGCATGTGTGTGGGAAGTAATCAGATACAAGCCCCAAAAATAGCCCACCAACACTTACTGCAACAGGTTTTCAAAGTGGCAGCAGAGATTATTGCACTGAAGAGGGAAAAAGCTGCATTAGAGAAGCACCACTGGTCACACCGCAGAACATTTCCCCCTTCACTCTTCTCCAGTCACTTCTGTGGTAATCAGGGTATTAAAATCCCAAAGTCCCTGTTCAACCTTTTAACCACTGAATTACAAAACTACTCATAGCTCCTGCAAGGGCGGGGTGAAGCCTGGTACAGTAAGGAAAAAAGCATGCAGGCCATCCCTTGAGATAAGAATGGAATAAATGTCTCAATTCTGTGTTTAAAAAACTCTCCCAATCCCATATACCTGCCTAAACCATTGGATTCTACAAAGCAGAAAAAGCAAGATACATCCTTTATTTACAGCTGACCACAGAAGGAAACAACGGCTTCAAGAGTCACATTTTAAATTTTACATTAAGATTTAGAGTTTTCTCATTATGAGATTTGCTTGATTTTAGGCAGCCCCATTTAAGCTTTTATTTGTTTCTTAAAAAGGCAGTGAAAATATTTAACTAGTAGTTAAATTAAATAAGCAGAATTAAGCAAGCAATGAAAGGCTTTTTCTAAAGGTTGAAAGTGAAACTGTGCTGTCCTGAAGAATGAAACAGAAAAAAGCACAGGCAAGTTCAATTCAACGCAATCACATGACTTCATATAAAATGTGTTTCAACAGTTTTGCCTTTGTAAAATTTGTCAACAATTTTCAAAAACAATACTATTGTTCCACATAATAAAGACTAAGCATTTGTGCTCTTGGGCCACCAGCTTATATTATAGGGTTTTTTTCTAATAAAAGTGACAACAAACTCAAGATCAAGAAGTATATACAGTCATCTTTGTTACACTGTCATTAAAAAAATATAAAAGTCAATAAAAGAAGGAATCTACAGGTGTTTGGAACCAAAGCAGAGGAAAGACCTTGAAGAAACATTTAAGCACAGCAGAGATCAGCATCCCAGTGACTGAAACCCTCTGGTGCATGAACACTGCCTGAAGTCACCCTAAGAGCTGTACATGAAGTACATCACATCCTTAACCTAAAGTCGTGGGACACAGCTAACCGTATACAAATCTTTCAAATGCTTTAAGGCTTTTATATTCTTAACTCTCCATTACACTGCTGTGGTCTGGAAAGAAAAATAAGGCATTTCTCTTCTATGGCAATGTTTTAATTTCCTTAAGGCACACAGCACAAGAACTGTCAGGGTGAGAACCAAAGCCCAAAGCAGGCCCCGGCTCAAAGCGAAAGAAGGATGCAATTTTCCGCAGGGGGAGACAGAGCAGGCCCTGGAGCGCCGGGGCCAGGGCAGGCGTGAGGGCAGCGGCCGAGGGGCGGGGGGCTCTTCCAGCGCCCCGTTACCCAAAACCTGAGGGAAGGAGCCTCCGGGCCAGCGCCGGGGACACGGGGCATCGGCAGCACAAACTCGTGGGCTCGCACGGCGAGCCGGGGAGGAAGCGAAAGGTCACCTTGCCCGGCGGAGCGGGACGGACCCCGCGGGAGCCCCGGGGAGCGTGAGGCGGCGAAGGGCCCGCGCCAGGCGGGGAGGCCCTGAGGGACCCCCGGGCCCCACAGCGCGCTGAGACCCCCGCGCCCGGCGCAGCGCTGCACCCCGCGCCCCGCGGGGACCGGGACGGACCGGGACGCAGCGCGGACGCCCCTCGCCCACCCGCCCCGGGACGGGGCGGGGCGCCGCGAGGGGCGTGAGGCAGGGAGGGGCCCCTCAGGCCGGAGCCGAGGAGCGGGAGCGGCGGCTGACGCAGAAGGGAAAGGCAGCGGGGCCGGGGGTGCCCCGAGTGCCCCCGTACCCCCTCGGTGTACCCCGGGAGCCCCCCGGGAGCGCCGCACTCACCTGCGCTGCGAGCGGGGGGCGGCGGGCGCGCGCCGGGCGGTCGCGGGGGTGCGCCCGAGTGCGGGAGCGCCGAGTGATCGATGGGGCGGCGGCACCGCCCCCTGCAGGCGGGGCCCGGTAACGCCCCCGGGGCGGGCCCGAACAGAGGGCTCCGCACCGCCCTCACGGAAATGGGCTGGAACAGGGCGGGATTGGGGCCGGAACGCAGAGCCCTCACGGAAATGGGCTGGAACAGGGCGGGATTGGGGCCGGAACGCGGCAGAGCTCCCCGCGGGCAGAGCCCCCCGCGGGCAGAGCTCCCCAGAGGCAGAGCCCCCCGCGGCCAGAGCCCCCCGCGGGCAGAGCCCCCCGCGGCCAGAGCTCCCCACAGCCAGAGCTCCCCACGGGCAGAGCCCCCCACGGCCAGAGCTCCCCGCGGGCAGAGCCCTCCGCAGCCAGAGCCCCCCGCGGGCAGAGCTCCCCACGGGCAGAGCCCCCCGCGGGCAGAGCCCCCCGCGGGCAGAGCTCCCCACAGGCAGAGCCCCCCGCGGGCAGAGCCCCCCGCGGGCAGAGCTCCCCAGAGGCAGAGCCCCCCGCGGCCAGAGCCCCCCGCGGGCAGAGCCCCCCGCGGCCAGAGCTCCCCACAGCCAGAGCTCCCCACGGGCAGAGCCCCCCACGGCCAGAGCTCCCCGCGGGCAGAGCCCTCCGCAGCCAGAGCCCCCCGCGGGCAGAGCCCCCCGCGGGCAGAGCTCCCCACAGGCAGAGCCCCCCACAGGCAGAGCCCCCCGCGGGCAGAGCCCCCCGCGGGCAGAGCTCCCCACAGGCAGAGCCCCCCGCGGGCAGAGCCCCACAGGCTGCAGGAGCAGCGGCTCCTCGGTACCAACCTCACAGAGCGCGCTTGTGAGCGATAGTTAACCTGTGCGGTGAGAGAGCCACACTGGAAATCCCAATTTTGTTTAATAAAGAGGTCAGGAAACTTAAGAATACATGTATTTATAAAAAATTTGGTTTTCTTCTGGGGTCTGTTTTTTGCTCTTTGTTTTTGGTTTTTTTTTTTTAAACGCAAATGCAGGCTCATTTTTCCTACTTCAACATAAAACTTGGATTTTCTCTCTGTGACAGCTCCTTAACATAAAAACTCAGTAAATTAACTACTGTAACAGGATCATCTTTGTGAATATTTTTAACCGTCTTTTTCCTTTGCTGCTTCAATGTGGCCCCAGTAGTGGGAGCTGACAGAGAAAAATTTGGCTGACAGAAATATTACAGAGCAAGAGGCTCAAAGAGCTGTGAAAAATTAGGTTATTGCCTAAATCCTTCAGTTCTGTAGTAGTTTCAGTGTGCCCATTTTCAAAGTCTTTCCTGAAAAATACCTTCAAGTGTAAGTTTAGTACAGATCTGCAAAGTGCTTCTTCATAGTAGAAGTACAGGCCTGTTTGTCTGTTCCAGAAATAATATGTTCTTATATAATACCATAGCTTTTGTGGAAGTTTAAAATTTGTATTTTTAGAATCTGAATTCTCCTTTGTAGCAATGTTATTCCAAAAGATCCTTTTACACCTCAGGCCTCAGAAATAACCACTGTGTCTGTCTTGAGATAGATTAGGGCAGTTCAGTGATCACATAGTCCAGCAGGGTTTTTATGGCATAAGGCAAGGGTTATGTGTCACTGTGTGATTCACTCCCATGGGATTCAGACTCTGGATTGCAGATTCTGGTTGAACACAGCCACCACAATTGACAGTTAAGTCACAAATGTAAAATATAATTATGGGAAGTGAGTTCCTAAATATTGGCTTCCAAACCACTTCATGTAAGGAGAACTGCCACTAATTTTCTGTAAGAGGTGGTTGGAGCTCCAGCATCGTCAAGCAGTGAAGGAGAACAGGATTTTCAGGTTCTGGGGTTTGAGTAAATTCCATTTATTACAGATGATGCTCTGCCACCCGAGGGCAATGAGCTGTCTGGCAAAGATAATCACAGGGAACTGCTCTAATAGTCACCGAGCACAGGGAAAATATTTTGGATTTATGGTTTACCTCAAAAATGAGGTCAGGATCAATGGGGGAAACGTTACCTCAGCCAGGACACAAAGGTGACAAACTCTAGGGTTGTCAACAAAAGGAACTTACTCCTACTCCAAGATAACAATAGTTCAGTCTAGGTTTTCCCTTCTAAAACAAAATCAGCTATGTAAAGGCAATGAAATGCTGTTGTTTAAACATAACAGTTGTCATTTTAGTTGTAAAAAAGTTTGTGTAAAAGATTTCACTTCCTAATACCCTATATGTACTTGAGAAATTTGGTCTGATAATGAGAAAAAACAAGCTGTAATAATAAAAGAAATATCCAGGAGGATGAAGGAAAGTATGACAACTAAGATAGGGGATAGGAAACTGAATGCAATAACTTTAAAATTTAATTGAACAGATGATTCCTGAGCATTGAAAGAATGATAATTTAACTGCAGCCCCTTAGAAGTGCTGGTCACAGCCATGTTCTTGACACATGGCAGACCTTGAATAAAATCATCATCAGAAGAAGTCTCAGGAGAAAACAGCATAAAGTTTGAAAAATACTCCTTTTCAAGTCTGATAAAGGCCCTCTAGGGTATCAAAGAGAAAGGAAGGAGTTGGCCATTCAATTGTAAAAAGTTTCAATGCTTTTTCTTTTAAACTGCAAAGCGACAGAAGATGCTAAAAACTTTGAAAGCATCAGTGTCTATATTCATCTGAAATTTCAAATCTGTAAGAAAGCTACATTTACCAGAATGTTTGTTTTGTAAGACAAGAGGTTGTTTGATTATCAGTCCATCAGCATACGATCTGTAATTTCCTTTAACTGGTTTTCATCCCAGCATCTTGGATGCCCAGAGGAACCTTCTTCTCTTCTGGAAGTGAGTCTTGAAGTAAATTGTCCTCATTTTCCACTGTGATGTGAATTTCGGTTTCTTTGTTCAAGGCATTGTCTTCTTTTGAAAGGAGGGTTTCTTCCCCTGCTGGGGAGTACCAGGGAGTGTGTCCATAATCCCTGCTGGCTGAGCTAACCTGCTCGGGGCACTGCGAGCTGCAGTCTGGTCTGCAAAATTTCACAATGCACGTCACATTCACCTGTGTGCCTCCGTTACCAGAATGTTCTGTCAAATAAGCACAAAACAGAAGAATGAAACCAGAACAGGGCAGCTGGATTCTTTATCCAGCTCTTTGACTTACAGTTCAAATAGACATTAAATATCTTTTTGCTTCACTTAACTTAGTGAAGCTGGTTGAGTTGGTTCTGTCACATTTCGGTACCGTAAAATCTACGTATCTCCCCAGAAATAAAAAGGCTACCAAAATTAATGCAGAGACCTGGACTGCAAACAATTCCTTGCCCATCTGTTGTCTTTTCAAGCACTTTTGGCAATGTTCTTTTGTAACTGCTCCCTTTGGCTTCTACTCCCACTCACAGGTAAGTGCCAACCACCTGATCCCCTAGCCCCTAAATACCCCTGGTTTTGCACTGAGGAAACTCTTTTTACTGTCTCAGGCAACTTAAGCATTTTTTCTTTTCAAAAGTTCCTAAATTTGCTCTCTGCTGAACAGGACTCAGATGTTTTATCCTGCCATTTAAACTTCTGCTAAAAAGACTCATAACTGATAAATTTCAAGAGTTCTGGATCATTCAGAATCATTACTACCTGAACTCGCAGAGCTGTGTCTGTCTCCACTCAGGAATTTAGAACCTTCAGAAGGTGAATGTTGCTGCTGAAATTCTCCTGAGTTTTTATTTTCATAATTCTTTTTACTTGTTACACTGATGGTTGGAGATCCAGTTGGATTCAGGATACTACTGCTGGACCCAGAAGTTTCCAAGAGATGCTGTTGTTCCTGTTCAGAACTCCTGGAGTTCTGCAACTCTGTATCTTTGACTTTTTTGTCACATTGTTTTTCTGGAGGGGGAAAACGCTGGAACATTTGCAGAGAAATGCAAAATGTTAATATTTAAAAAAAAACCAAAACCTAGCAACCCACTAGCAAAGAGCTGGTCAGTATTTTGTCAGCTAAAGACACCACTGATGATTGGAACCAGAGGAGCTTTAATGTCCTGTCTAATTCAAGCCATTCTATAATTATTTTCATTTGCATAGTGATGGGTGCAAGTAAAATCCATAACAGCTCATTAGGGGTTGAACAAAAGGAACTCATCTGCTGAGGTACCCACAGCACTGCTCTGATTACTTAGGGACCAAAGGCTGTCACATTTAGTTTTCAAAACCCCACCTGGGTTTTAATGCTGTTTTTGGCCTCACATAAAGAGAGGGTGGGACATTATATGGGATATATAAGGTGCATCTTACACCCTAGCTTGGGGACCAAACCACCCTGTTCTCACTCCAGTTTTCTTGCTGCTGTGCAGTCTTCTTCTACTTGTAATTAGGTGAGAGTTTATGATTTCTGTATAACTTTTAAAGAAATAGAAGAGATGGAAAGAGAGGACACTCACCAAATCTGCTTCTGTAGCTGCTGCAGAGTACACAAGGGCTGCTAGTGAGCAAACACAGTTTATTAGCACCCAAACATGACCCATTTGCAACAGCTGTGCCCTAAACTAGGCTGAGTGATCCCTGCTCCTGGAATAAACTTCAAATGTACATTTATTACACACAGTTTGAACACAATGAAACCTGTATTGTATTAATTTTGTGACTTAAATTTATCCAGGAAGCAGAGAAGCCTCAGCATTAATTCATAATTTTTCTTGTATAGTGTCAGTGAGAAAAGGTATTGATGACAATAAACCAGATCCATGTCTGTTTAATTATAACACTTGAAATTGTCTAATATTTAAATGATGAAGTACCAAATATTTAACAAGCTTCAGCAGAAGCACAACTGTTGCACAGTTGTCCAACTCCCAGGTTGTTGTGTATTTAGACAATAACCTAAAATATGAGGAACAAGACAGATCTGAAGAAAGCTGGCATCTTCTAAGACACTAATTTCAGTCAACCACCAGGCTCAGTTAATGTGAAATAAGGTGACACTTCACAGATTTTACAGGTTTGCTTGTTTTTACCTCATGAATCTTACCTTTTTTTTTTGAGACTAAGCAATACCCCAAAACAGCAATTATCAGGACCAATAACAATGGCCCTGCTACTGCTCCTGAAAATAAATAAAAAGAAGAAATTGTTTAGCAGCTTGATCTAGCAAAGGATCAAATTAGAAAAAGGTAGTCTTGTCATTTCTGTGCATCCCTACAAAAGCTACATTTACAAGTATTGTGTATGTCTGACATTCACATTTGATGCCTCAATTGTCAGACACCAAGGTCTCATTTTAGTCACCACCACTTCATAAAGCTAAATTCTCCTCTCCTTAAAAGTAAGGACAGACTTTAGGCCTCAGTCACAAAAGGTATTTCTCCAGGCAAGCAAGAGTTTGTCAGATATAAGACCAGGTAGCTCAAAATGCTCCTAAACATCTCAGCCTCCTGGATGGACTGTGAACAGGAGAGAGCACATCCACCTAGGAATGCTGTCAGGACCTTCTGTCTCAGGAAAGGCTGACAGAAGACTCACAGACCTCTCACCAGGCCAGGTTTGCCTCAGTCCAGAATTTAAGATACAGCCTTTTCTACCAGCTATAGCAGCAATTATCAGGAAATGCCTTGTATAATCCAGTTTGAGGTTTTTTAGAAATACTTCCAGATTTACAAGGATCATAAAATGCACTGTAGTAAAAACGCAGTTCACTACAAGCAGTGTCACATTGAATTAATTGAGCTCCTCTGAGGTTCTGCTTGGGTACAGGTGACTGGTTTTGGAAAGACACTGAGAACTAAATATAAGCTTGGTTCCTGAGCAGACAGAAGTGACTTTAAATGAGTTAAAGCTCACCGGTGATGTGGGACAGGTCAGGTACAGAGTTTAACACGACAGGTTGAGTTATTATTTCAGGTTTGTGGGAAGCTGAGCTTTGGGTCAGAAGCAGGTTCAAAATGGTGTGAGGCAGAACTGTGGCTGTTCCTGAGTCACTGCAAACAGTGTCATTCCTGCTGTTCCCAGGGACAGCCACTGATTTACAACTGCAGGAGGCAAAAAGAGACGTTAGGAACAACAGAAAGCTGTGCACAGTTAAGGCTGCTGTTGGACAGAACACTGGCTCACATGGTGTGGGGTATGCAGCTGGTGTTGTAGGATTCCTCAGGGGAAAACGTGCCAGCAGGACAAGGTTTACATTCTGTGTCTGTGCTGTCTGTCCCTTTAAACAAAGAGGAAAACTCCAGTTACTTATCTGGTGAGAAACAGGAATGAATAATCAGGGTCTGCAAGAGACCCTAGCAGTGATACAGAAGCAGTGCAAAAATGCAGTCTATAACTGTCACAGAATATATTCACTTGATGCACCCAACCCAAAGAGAAGACTAACCAGCTGTCAGTTTGGTGCCATTAAAGGTTCAAATATGGTGCTGCAAAGCTGAGCTTTTCACCAAACTGTTGAGTTCTGCATCTTCTCAAAATGATTCCTAATTTTTTAAAAATGTTTAGTGTTTTGAGTATTTTAAAATTATTTATCATTTTGAGACGGATGTATTATCAGGGTGATTGATTCCATCAACTAATAAAACCAGATCAATTCTGCAGGACAGCACAGAGTCATCATTATTTACTGTACCCAAAATTGCACCTGAAGCCCTTTTTCAAGGATTTAAGGAGTCATTAAGTGGTCTTGGATCTCAGTCACTTGTACAGAATAAATCACCCAGTAGAGCAAAATGAAGATTAAGATGGATTGGGAACTTTTTGATACATGACAGTAAGAAATTGCAACATGTTGTCACTTTGGATATACCTCTGGGGAATACTGTTACTCTGGTTAGTGCCCACTTGCTAAGAATGTAAAAATAAACCCTAAAAGGAATGCACAACCCTAGGGAATTAGGCCAGAGTAAATGTGCAGAAAGCAGAGTGTTCAAAATCAAATTTATTACCTCTTCTGGAAACCCGGTAACCTTTGCCGCATTTTTTGTGTGTTCTGCACACTTCACAGTACTCGTCCAGCTTGGAAACACAGTACTTGTGGGGTGGGCAGCTACAGATCCTGTCCTGGGACCTAGTGCACGTTTGCTTCTGTACAAGCCCTGGTTTTAAAACAAAAATAAAGCAAGATGTCATTGACAGCATTTAAAATCACAGCCTGCAGTGTTTCGAGTGAACATGAGGTGATGTTCACATACAAGGTTTGGGCTTGTATAGCACCATAAACCAAATGTGTTATATGCCCCAATATCACATTTTCAGAAGAGTTTTCTCTCTCTAGGCAAGGAGAAATTTGCACCTGCAGAGTGCACACTTAAAACTCTGTGCCCTGCAGTTGTGTTATGTTTTGTCATAACCCCAAACATGGCCATTTGTGTTCACCACTGCCATACCTGGGGCCACACTGAGATTTTCAGCTGTGCAGATCATGTCACTGTATTTAATGTGTTTGGAGATTTCATTACCAATATTTTCATATTGTAATTAACCAGCTTTGTAAGATTATCTATTTGGACAAGACCAAAGGTTCCTTTCAACTTAGACTGTATCCTTGAAACTTACTTCTCAGTGAATCAAGTAGATAACGTTCTACACCAATTTCCATTAGAAATTGTGGAGAACAGCATGACCGAGTTAATTAATGCAGGTGACCTATTAGCCCAAAGCACAGGTGTTGGTACAAAGTTCTACCTTAGGTACTGTTAAGCTGCTCCAGTGAACAGAACCAGTGTGCCCTCACTGACTGCTGCTTTGCAAAATAAACCAATGTTTATTTTGCAAAATAAACCCATGTTTGCTGTTGGCACTTCAGCAGACAAAATGAGAAATGACAGGATGCTGGAAACGTAATTATCCATTTACCCATGTCCAAGTCAGGTCTTAAGGTCTCTTGATGGGATGTTATAAGCAGTAGCTTATTCTACTGATGGCATTTGGAATATTTTAGTGATGTAGTGCCTTGGTTTTTAATATTATAAAATTGATGTCTCATTTTTAGGACTTAAAAAGAAAAAGGGCCAAGGCTCACTGCAAGACTTTTCCTTGATTCCTGTCCCAAAATCTTACAGATTCCAAAAGCATGAGGACTATACAAGTGATTGACAAAATCTCCTGGGTTTCTTAAGACAAGGTTAAACCAAGCCCAGTCTTTGAGCAAGCCTGTTTACTAATCCAAGCCTACCTTTCCTGCAGGGTGGTGAGCAGGCAAAGCACTGTGGAGAATAATTCCAGATGGCTGTGTACGTTTTAGGTCTGCAGGGGCTGCACTTGGTGTCCACGGTGTGACTGCAGCTCCCTGTCCTATACTGACCTATTAAAAGAAAAATAACCCAAACCGAAACAGAGGAAACATCTCACTGGAAAAGATCACTAGGAATTAAGTGTCATTCTGAGCTGTAGAATCCTCTCCCTTCACTGACATTATCATACACCATACATTGATGTAGAGAACTGCATGTCTCTACAGGGAAAGGCTGATTTATGTCCATCCATGTTTGACCCCTTTTCCTATATTCAGTTCAGTGGATTCCAGACATATTCAAGACAAGGCAAAACAAAACCCCTCAGCACATACTTAGGTGCAGCTACCACAACACAAAAACCAAATATTCTACCTTTGCAGAAGCTGTTTGGCAGTGAACATGTGAAGATGTTTCACAACCAAAGTCAGGCACATGCCAGGATGATGTGCCTGAGTGAGACCCTTACTGCTGTCACAGGCAGTGAGTGCAGAGGGCAAGGTCAAGTAACATCACAAACAGGTCTGAATTAGAACTTCTCCACTTGTCACTGTGAAAGGGACACGAGCCCACTCTTCTTCCCTCACCTCTCCAGCCAGCCCTAACAGAGCCAAGCAGGGAATTTCTGAAACTACTGCCTGTGGAGGCTGATGGGCCAAGAGGGAAAGAGTCCACGACGCTCCTCTGAAGGGAAAACCCCTAAGGCACTAACCTCCTTTGTTATGGTGAGGAAAAAGTCTTCCCCCAGCATGCCTTTCTGTTACAAACAAATTCTATGTATCCCACTGACCCTTCCCCCTGGCTCCAGCCCTGTGCCCTGAGCCCATTCCTCCTGGTGCTCTACCCCAGTCCCTGCCTTCCCTACATAACCCCATACCCTCTGACTATCTGGAGCTCTCTCCATTCCATTGAGAGGATGAGCTCTCTCCCCTCCATCAAGGGACTGAGAGTCTCCTCGTCCCCAGACCCCTTCACAGCAGAAGCCTAATAAAGATTTATAGTAGATATTTTTGCCCCCAACAAGGGGAAGAGAATGATGCATCTGACTCCATCTTATCAGAAGGCTAATTAATTACTTTATTACACTATATTATTCTATACTATATTACATTACCTCTAAACTGAATCTGCCAAGCACTCCACTCCACAGAATCTTGTGACTGTCAGCTGACAGTCCTGACACACACACCTGGATCCAACAGGTCAGTGAATCAAAACACCCACACCCAAATCCAATTATCAATTCCCTTCAGCTAAACAATCTTCCACGATGCATTCCACTTGTGAACACAGGAGCAGCAAATGAGATAAGAACTGTTTTTCCTTTCTCTGAGGTTCACAGAATGTGAAACCCAGAAATTTCTTTGGAAGTTGTGCCTTGCTTTTCTCTGTGAAGAGAATGTGGTGACAAAGATTCTCTGTGGAACCCCATACAAGGACTCCCTCCTTCTGTGCCACCCGAACATACAAAGAGCTGAAGTCACTCGGGGAGAGTGCAGATGTGCCTGTGCCACCAGGACACCCTTTTAGGGACACTTCTCCAGGAGGGTGGTGGCACTCTGACCAGCAGCTGCTTCCTGCCGTGACAGCTGGCATTCCAAACAAAGGCAAAAACTGTCACAGGTAATTTATCCAAAGCTCCTCATCACCAACAGAGTTTGTACTATTTCTTACATTTAGTACAGTGGTGGGAGCATTTAAATATGAGTTCCAACATTAATTTTGGAGGAAACACCTCAATTGCCATTTCCCTTTAATGTGAAAGGAGATAAAAGTCACTGTCTCATATCCTTTACAAAAATACCCTGGAAAACATACTCAGAAAGCAGGAAGAACACTGAAAAAATTTTAGAGGTGCTTGGAGAATCTGTTTTTCAAAAGAAGAGGCCCTGGAGGTGAGCCAAATTAATTATTTCCAAAGACTTTGTTTTTCCTTGTACTTAATTAAAGCTTTACATTCTGCATCCTACATCCTGCTAATGATCTAGGCTGATTCACTGAACACTACAAAACACAACTGAAAAGTTTTACTTATAAATTATCATCTTTCATCTGTCATGAACAAAGGAAGTTTGACAGATCTATCTAGATAATTTCAGTTATTTCAAGGAACTGCAGCTGTTTCAGCAAATACTGATTTCCTGTTTAAACTTCCGGATCTGACAGACACTCAGCACTTATGGAGACAAATTTTCTTTGCTCAGCATGTAATGAGAAAAAAAAAGGCAGTTTTTTTTTCTGTATCTAATATAATAATATAGTTGCAACTTGTTGCAAAAACTCTACAACAAAAATCTCCAAAGAGCATTACTATCCCCCCAAAAAAACCAATCCCAAAACCCACAGACAATGACTTTGGCTAACTACAGGTCACTTATAATCAATCACTCCTGGAGTGTAAGACATACTCAGAGCAGACAGTGCCTGCAGTCCTGTCCCCAGTCTCACAGTGCTCTGCAGGGTCTGATTTACAGTAAAAGACAAAAAACTCCCTTAATGAGCAATGATAGATTGACCTGTCCAATGGAAAGCCCCTTAGATAAGTGATATTATCATAGCACAGAAACCAAGCCTTACTTCATGCCCTGGTTTACAATATATATTTTTATTAGTGGGCTGGGGTCTGTGTTGCCTGCTCTTTGTAATTCCCTTAGTGAGCTGCTGCTTCCCCTCCAATGTTGACTAAAATACTTTAATTACTTAAATGAAAACCTCATGCAGAGTTGTGCTTACCCAAGCTCAGAACTTACCTCCTGGTAAGCCCCAGCCCAGTTAACCTTGTAGGAGAATTCCACTTCTGATGGATAATGTGTCTCTTTTGCAGGTATTTTGCAGTCATGGTGTTTTGTTGTCTTTGTTGAGGAAGAATGCATTACAACAGCAAAAATCTGATGCACTTTAGATGTATAAGTAATCAAAACACACTATGATCATCTGAAAACTGAGTGAATTTGGCTGTGTAAAGTAATAGTTTGAATTATAACCTACCTGGAGGACACTGGCTGCAGCATTTATTAAGTTCTTCATCATAGAATTCAGTGCTGGGATTGTTGCATTGTGCAAACTGTGGCGTGTAAGGTAATGAATATTCCTAGGAGAAAACAAGGGGAAGTCATGAGTCACAAGTCTGTTCTGATCCTGAATTAGAGACTCAAAAGAGACAAATACCTAGAGAGCAGTGCAATGACAAGCACCTTCCTTTCCAAGGCACCAGTGTAGCTGCAATGAAACACACCCAGCAGATGCCAAGGGGCTGCAGGGCACTGAACACCTGATGAGCTGCGTGTGACTCTTTTGAGGTTCCTTTGTTTTCCAAAGATCCACCACCACAAACAAAGTGATTTCTCCAGGTTTTAGGTTCAAAGAGTGCAGTGGAGCTGTGGGATTAGCATCACACCTGGTCACTACTGCCTCCCCCAAACCAAAGGGCTGAGTGCCTTATCCTCAGCTGCCATGGCTCCAAGAATATCTGACAACATCTGACATAATCTGACATCATCTGACAACAACAGTGGCTCCAACAACATCTGACAAAACACCAGAGAAACCTAAATTCCTACCCGTGGGTTTGTGGGAGAAACTGTTACTGTAAAGGGGCTCAAAAACTTCAGTCAATCTTTCCAAAGGGAAAAAGGCTTTTATCTTTCCAGATACTCTGTGATTCCTTCCTGAGCAAGAAAGGCCTTGATGTTTTGAAAATGAAGTCTCCAAAAACTGCACTGCTGCTTCTGAGAAGCAGCACCTTTGCAGAAGGTGCAGACAAATATGCAGGTTAAAGCCTTAGAGACAACCATGAAATACAGGGTGCCTAATTTCAGCTCACACTGACCAGCACAGCTCAATGACTTCAATGAACAAGTGTCAAATTATTTGATGACTTACTGACTATTTTCAAAGGGAAAAATACCCTCATTTAAACAAGGCTCCTGTTAGGCAGGACAAGCGTAGGAGTTTCTTGCTAGACCAAAAAGGCACTGTTAAAAAAGGATGTGACACTGCTCAGTTTTAAAGCATCATTGCAGTCTGAAGAGATTGCTAATCTACACAAATTTAGAGGAACCATTACTAAAATGAGAAATCAAAACAGGAACAAGATCTTGGGAGGCCGGTAATGAAAATATCCTTCCGCCTTACAGAAAAACATGTTGAATATCTATTATGTTTTCACATTACTGGCAAAGGAGATTAATGTTTTCCACCCTCAGCAATTGCTTAAAGGGAATTCAGCATTTTCTTATGCAGCTTGTTGAAATATTTTACCTCTTATTTAGTTGTGATCAGAAACAGGATTTTGTCAAGCTACTCAATGGTCAGTATCAAAAAAACCCTTTTCTGAGAACATGAAGGCAGAGAAATGTCTAGACATCACAGGATGGACAATGATAAATCATCCTGTTTGCAAACTTGAGCTGACACTAAAATTTGATGAAGGAGAAAAGGGCTCTGCTCTCACCAAAATATGTTTCATTAAATTACTTTTTTATTAGAAGAGGAAAGATCATAAGTGATGTCATCCTGTTTTTGTAGTCACTATGATCAGCTTCATTAAAACAAGCAATTGAGAACCTTTTCAAAACATAAGGCTTCATGCAAGAGCAGACATGGGGGGAAGAAAAGGAGAAATACAATAAACCACATCACAAATGACCCAGCTGGTGAGGCTTCCTGAAAAAAAAAAAAAAAAAAAAATTCTTACCTCATGCTCTTCCCTGTCTGTTGTGAATCCTGCCCTGAGCTACAGACACAGGAAAACCTGTTGGTTGCTGGGTTCACACCTGTTTCTCTGAAGCTGTACTTGGAAGGATCTCTCTGCTGTCTGATACAACCTCCCTGAAATTTTATCTGATGAGCTGTGGCTCTCAGTGACTTATAATTGACAATTTCTTCCCAAATGTCCTCAAAGAACATTATGGGAAACTAAAAGGGAGTTGTGACTGGCTTAGACACAATTTACACACACAAGGCCACGCACGTGCTCAGCTTGGCTTGCCCTGGAAGGATTGAATTCATTTAGCAGACCCCAATTTTCTAGCAATGTCACCAATCCTAAAGTTGAGTTGGGCCATATCAGATTTCTGTCTGGCATCCAGATGCATTGCCTGCTTTGGACTGAAAGCCTGATGAGGAGAGGCCAGATTCTATTTCACAATCTTTGTATCTTGTTAGTGTTTGTATCTTTCACAAGTCCTTATTTTATCCTGTTTTTACTGAGATCCAGTGTCCTACAAGCAGGTTGTGTGAAGGGAAATTAACCTGATGCTGCACATTTTGGACTACAGGCTCAGAATTTCTCAGTCTAGGTAGCAGTGCCTAAATCAGGCAGCTGATTTAATAGAAATTTATAAGGACAAAATTAAGACTTTGGAAGACTTCATTTGATTTAACAGGTACAAGAAGAAATAAAATGCTTCCTCTGTCTATCAGTAGGGGCATGCACATTCTTAAACATGAAATTTAGTCTAGCTCTATGCACATCAAATTAAGCAATACATTTTTGCATAGAAATGGGTAAACTATGTTTGCCTTTGACTTCATTAACCCACTAGGGAGATTTTTGCAATGCCTCTGCATTAAGCAATAACTAAGAAGCTACATACACAAAGTCAGTGCCTCCAGACTCTCTGGAGTTCCTGCATTGTTTGGATCACTTTCCTGTTTGCACTACAGATATTACTATACAGGTGACTTAATTCGTCCCTGGAGAGGAGTGGGCTAAGTAATCTCCACATCAACTGAAAGGACTTTATGTGTAATTAAATTTAAGTATCTTAAATAATAAAAATAAAACATTTTAATATAATGGATGAATCTATTAAAATCCATTCATATAACACTCATTTGCACTCAAGGCCATTTAAACAAAGATATTTAAGCATATTTTTTAATCCTAATTCACATGTCCACACTTCTGTTGATCACCTTTTCATACATTTGCCTTCAAACTTGAGCTGTCAGAGAAGTCTGAGGAGGAACTAATTTGTGTACAATGCTCTCCACGTATGTGAAACCACAATGAAGTCACTGAGGTCTCTGTTGTAAAATCTGTTTCTATGGAGAGGACTTGAGACAGAGACACTATTTTCTGAGCTACCAGACCTACTGGAGGCAGGAAAAAACAGAATTCTGTCTAAAATATTTGAACTTCTCATTAAAAAAAAAAAAGTTCTGTTGAAGTTCAGTTACCAGATAACAGCATTGCCCAAATCAGCTGGAGTTGTATCAGGCTGTAACAACTTTACTCACACTATGAAGTTTCTTTAAAGCTGCTGTGCTGCACATCTCTCAAAGATAATGGTCCATTAAGTGAATTATTTTCCCATCCTACATTGCACTTCTGTAAAGCAGGAGTCCTTGCACAGCCTCACACCCACAGATTTACAGTTTGCCATCCCTCCTCCCTGAGGAAACAGTGTCTGTTTGCTTACTGCCAGCAATTCTACTTCACTGCCACTCACCCCAGAACATGAAAACATCTTCCATTCCCTGGGGGATGCACAGGATATGGAAGCTGTTCACAACAGGCAAAAATTATAATTCCAAATTTGCAGGAAGACGAGGTATATTTTATTATATATGTATTTGGAAAAACATACCTATTTCACCAGTTCTGCTTTTTGAAAACTTCAGACTATAACTGATAACCTTGATGGTTCAATTGTTCAAAATGGCAAAAATAATGTTCAGTTCTTGTGTCTAACACAGGGTCTGAGGCTGGGAACTTCCAGAGACTTCAGATGAATGAGGAAAAACCCAAGAGGTAGTGTCACTCAAGAACTGTTGCTTTGCCTGTTTGTCTCCCTCAAAAATAAAGTAAGTTTTCTTTAACAAATAACTGTTAAAAATTGATATAACAGGCATGGGCTTTTTTTCCAGCTCTGTGGCAGGTGTATTACCAAAACTACTGTGTTTGTTTCTCTAACTTTACATATAAGCTTTTCCTTATTTTATCACAGTGCAAAAAGTGATGCTGAAGTTTCTGTCATTATTTCCACCATTATGTTTCTGTCATATTTAGAGTGAGAGGAAAACTAATTGCTTTTGAACCAAAGGCCCTTGCTCAGCATGAAACATGACAAATTCTATTGATAAGGTCTGCCACAATTCTGAGACTGTCCCTTCTCTATCTGCTTTATCCTATCCACTGCAAGGTGTCCAGTAAATCAGGTTCAAAACACTCTCACCTTAAAACCAGAGCTGAATGAAAAATTAGTTAGAAACAGTTCAAATAATTATTTTAATATATTATCAGCTCACTGTAGCACTCCATACTCCTTAAAAGACCACTGTGTAATTCCAGGTTCAATACACATTCTGACATCCTCACCTGATTTCATTTCAATTTGTTTTATCCAGCCTAAATTCCTATGATTAAACAAACATATAAATAACATAAATATCCCATAAGAACACAGTGCTCCGGACATCCCAGACACATTTCTATATTTATCTTCACAATCCTGAACATGTTAAAACCAGACAGAAAAGTGCTATCAATGCACCAGTAAGAAAACACTCAGTGGAAGGCAAACAGATCCCATGGAGCTCTTTGGCTGACACAGTTACAAACCCTCACTGCCAAACAGTGCTGCAGGAACAGCAACAGCTGCAGCACATCAGATCTTCGCTGCAGATTAAAGGCTTTTCGATTTAAATTGGGAAGAGTTCTAGGGAACCAGCGGGGCACAACAAGTTCTTCCTGTGTAAACAATGTCATACAGATATGCTGCACTTGCCAGGATGCTCACCACGGTTTTTACAAACATTCAAATAAGCCTGCAAAATCAACCTATTTCCTATGAAAATCCAGGAAAAATTATTAGTCATTCCTTTGGGAAGGCAAGAAGTAACAACAACACAGACAAAGGCTGAGCTTTGACGCTTTAAGAGCGGGACTTGAGCTTGCTGTAGAGATCACCATGAATCCAGCCCAAGCCCAGGGGCACAGAGGTGACAAGGGACAGACAGGCGACAAGGGGCAGGAGACAAGGGACAGGTGAGAAGGGACAGACAGGTGACAAAGGGCAGGAGACAAGAGACAGGTGAGAAGGGAAAGACAGGTGACAAGGGGCAGGAGACAAGGGACAGGTTAGAAGGGAGAGACAGGTGACAAGGGGCAGGAGACAAGGGACAGGTGAGAAGGGACAGACAGGTGACAAGGGGTAGGAGACAAGGGACACCTGACAAGGAACAAACAGGCGACAAGGGGCAGGAGACAAGGGACAGGTGAGAAGGGACAGACAGGTGACAAAGGGCAGGAGACAAGAGACAGGTGAGAAGGGAAAGACAGGTGACAAGGGGTAGGTGACAAGGGACACCTGACAAGGAACAAACAGGCGACAAGGGGCAGGAGACAAGGGACAGGTGACAAGGGAAAGACAGGCGACAAGGGGCAGGAGACAAGGGACAGACAGACAACAAGAAGCAGGAGACAAAGGACACCTGACAAGGGACAGACAGGTGAAAAGAGACATAGGCGACAAGGGGCAGGAGACAAGGGACAGGTGACAAGGGAAAGACAGGCGACAAAGGACAGGATAAAAGGGACAGGTGACAAGGAACAAACAGGCGACAAGGGGCAGGTGACAAGGGACAGACCGCCGACAAGGGACACCTGACAAGGAACATACAGGCGACAAGGGGCGGGCAGTGACAAGCAGCCCGCACACACAGCAGCGAGACGCTCCCCGCTCTCTCCATCCCCGGGCGATGCCGCCCGCCTCTCCCCGCGGCGCTCCCGCTCCGCCCGGCCCCGCTCACCCGCCCGGCCGCGGCGGGGATCAACACCGGCATCAACACCGGCATCAACACCAGCATCAGCGGCGGGATCGGCGGCGGGATGGGCCCCGGGCCGGGCTCCCGGAGCAGCGCCCGGCGCGGCCCCATCGCCGCCGAGCGCGGCCGGGCGGGTCCGGCCCGCAGGCACCGCCCGGCGCCCGCCCCGCTCGGCCGGGCCGCTCGCACCGCGCCCCACGAGGTGTGGGGAGGGTCTCGTGTGCCCCGTGCACGGAACACCGCCTTGCACCGCCAGCGCTTCGCCCCGCAGTGCGAAGTTGCCGCTGCAGCGTTCCGGTGTTCATTAACACTCATTGATGGCAGCCACCCGTCGCACGCAGCCGGGGTGGTGCAGACGGACTTTGCTGTAAATTCAGCCCTGCTCCTGAGAAAAACTCTAATCCACTAAGAGCTCTGTGAGCTTCAAATGGCTTTCTTGCGAAAATATTTCTTCTGAGAATGAAATTATCAGCAATTTAATATATATCAAACAGGAAAAGCGTGGCCATGGCTTAAAACCCGTAATTTTTAATTCAGAGATTACCAGCATTATTAAACCAACTAATTATAACATGTCCAGCAGGTTGCAATGCATATGGTTCTTTTAGAAAGCTGTTCTAGTAAAAAAGATTCATTAATAACAGAGTGGAAATACTGGCTTAAAACCCGTGTAATTTTTAATTCAGAGATTACCAGCATTATTAAACCAACTAATTATAACATGTCCAGCAGGTTGCAATGCATATGGTTCTTTTAGAAAGCTGTTCTAGTAAAAAAGATTCATTAATAACAGAGTATATACAATTACAGTCATTGCAGAACAGCCCCGAACAATCACAGCCAGGTAAATGTGGTTATTCAGTTTGTGGATTCATGAACTGGTGTTCTCTAAAATGAAGTATGTAGTGAAGTTAAGGTAGATGTGGAAAAGGTCAACTAAAGTGACCAAGCCAGAGGAGCATCAAACTTACATGAGTAACATGAAAAGATGGGACTCAACCTGGAGGCTTAGTGCAATCAAAGCTGAGATACAATCAATCACAAAAGCAACTTGGTGGAAAAAGAAAAAATAAAAAGCAACTCACTGACTTCTGTAAGGCAACAGCTAGTGACACTCACTGAAATAAAGAGGCCAGTTTCAAAGTGCTAAAAGTCCTTTACACAGTGCATGATATCTGTAATCTTTTGCCACGGGTGCTTATGGAGGCAGATTGTGCTTGGAAATTCGAAAGAGAGAAGAAAAACTAATGGTGATATAAGAGAAAAATAAAGGCTGAATCAAACTCTTTGACATCCTTAATCCAATTCCAGCTGCAACTGCAGAACTATGATGAATGCAAACAGCAGTTGTAGTTTTCCTAACTAATCCCTTCCTGAAAGTGTCAGAGGTGAAATGCTGGGCTCAAACTCCAGTCTGGCCCAAGAAGGTGTTTTTGTGCCCTTCTGTTTGCTCTAAGACAGAAGTTGCTGCAGGTGCACCACTGTTATTACAGTGCTCTGATCAGGACAAAACTACAAAGCAAGAAATGGGTTTTGTGGTTCCTTTTTTTTGATTATTAAGACACACTTTGTCATATTGCTCATTTTCCACTGTCCTGTGTAACAGTGTAGTCAGCACTATTACATTTACAGTTACTGAACAAGCAGCACAAAAGATTTAAAAATAGCATAACACAGGGCAGTTGGCCACCAAACAGGTTTGTTTTTAAAGGATATGCAAATCAGTGTCACCCTCATGATTATGAACAATTCTAAAACAAGTAGATATTAACAATGTTATAGGAAATAACTGCTGTGTCTCTTTTTCAGTAGAGAAATAGTTTCTTTTCTTCATTTCTCTTTTTACAGGCTCCCTATTGGGCTTAACCCATAGTTCATCCAATAGCCAGATGCTCAGCCAGTTTGGCTTCCATCAGAAGAGGCTGTTTTGTAGACTTACTCATGATTTGATGTAGTAAAAAAAAAAAAAAAAAATTAATTGGACTTCAAAACCTAGAAAGAATGGCCTAAAGTACAGTGGACATTAATTAGTTTTATTTGCCTTCTATTTTCAGAGCCTGTGTGGCACCTTTTGATCCTAATTCCTCAAGAAACATGAAATCCACAAACTCGAGAGTTATGTTTATGTTAAGGAAATGGAGATTATTATCATTTTCAATCAAAAGTTGAAGGCTTGGGTAAATGCCAGATGTTTCAAAATATATTACCAAATTGAATGTATTGGAGTAGAAACAACATGGCTGAGTCTCAAACTTGACTCAGAGTCCTGGCTAGAATTTTCACAGCTAATAGAAGTAACCAGACATAGATTTCAATCCATTCCTTCACACTGAAAAAGCAAGCTCTGAAACTTCAGCTGACATCCAGATATCCTCTAAATTACCCAGCTTTGATTCAAATTTGTTGTGAGTATGATACTGGGAGACAGGGAAATAGAAGTATTTGATGTCAGCTATGAAGGCCAACAGTTTGGGTGATCTCTCCTTTGTGAGATGAAATAGGTGCTAACTCCTTGTTTGAGTGTTTCAGTATTTCCCAGGAGGTCCCCAATGATCTAAGGCACAGTGTGTTTACCTCCCTTGTCATAAATTCTGCCTTAGTGTCACACTGGGTGCTTCTGTATCTTCCCACACTGTCTCTGTGGGTTGTCACTTCTCAGTGGCAGTGGTAGGGTGGTGAAATTCCTTTCCCTCCTCTTCCACAGGAACCATCACATCATTCCCTGGAAAAGACTCTGTCTCCTGCTCTGGGTAGTGCATTTCCAGCTCCTCTTCCATGCTTTCCTGGGCATCGAGGTTACTTTCACATCCTTTAACAGCACAGTTCTTGCCACTGGGCACTTCTGAAACAGTCCCCACGATAACAGTGTCTGCCTTCATGATGTAGAGTTTTTCTGAGGAAGGAAAAAAGTAGTGCTGAGCATGGTGAGCAGTCACTGCTGCCCCAGAGTTTTTAATGTTTTTCATGCAACATTTTTATTAGCACTCTGGACACTTCAGATCCCACTTCCATGGGATTAATCCACTGAGCTAGAGGTGGAACTACACGAGAAAGACAAAGTGGAAAAGTCAGAAGATATTCACAAGAATCTGCTAGAGGAAGCAACTAACTGGGATCTAAAGACTCCAAGGTTTATGCTCCTCCTGTTTCAAGAAACAGCACCATGTAAAAGAAACCTCTGGGTGAAGATCAGCACTGGACAGAAGTTCTGGGTTCTTAGGACCTGCAAAGAAATTATTTTCTTTCTAGCTGAGAATAAACTACAAAGTTTTCTGGATCTTGGGTCCAGCTTGTTGTTGTAGTCCTTCACAGAAAGGTAAATAAAGCCTTTTCAGTGGCTTGCACCACTGCACTTAATTCAGAAGGATGCTGCACATCAGACACTGTAGGTTAATTGTTGTTAATTGCTTGGAGATGTTTGGATATGGTAAATCAAACCATCACATTCATCCCAATCCATCACTCACAGTAAAAACAGGAGGGTGTTTAGTAAGGAAAGGTCAGTTTTTGTAATATGAAAAATAACACCTTCAAATAAGCTCAGGACTGGGTTTGGGAGCACTGCCAGAATGTCTCATGCAGATGGTGTCTCAGGTAAGAATTCACCCCTATGAACGAGCTCCTTGCCTGACTTTATCTCCCAGCCTTTGCCATGGTCAGACTTTATGGGAACACATGGGAGATGCATTTCAAGCCATTAGTATGAAACCAGAGAAGAAAATTATAGCTAAGTACAATTCTCATTCAGCATTACAGCATCATCTTCCAGCTGACATATTCAAATTTCTTATGTAAAATCTACATATTCCAGAATGAAAAGGAGGAGTAATAGGAAATGAAATTCTGTCAAACTCATAGTGACTAAAACATGAAAAAAAAGAAAGCATTATATTCAAATGAATAGGTATTTTTGAGTCAAAGATCTGGAGATTCAGCACAATATTTGTTAGGAGATTTGGACACTGAAGTTTACTAACAATCTTGGAATGACAGTATGTGCCATGTTTGAAAATTTGAAAAAAGAAGATGACAAAAGAAAAGAAAAAAAAAGAGCAAGACTCACCAATTCTGTTATTTGTGTGGTCCCTGACTCGAGAATCCACAGGGCAATCTGGGGCATTCCCACTGCTTGGAGCCACATCAGTCACACTCCGAGGAGGACTCTGGGCTTTTTCTGTGCTGGACACCAAGTTATTGTTGGTTTCCAAAGGAAGGGCTCTGTCAATTAACTCCTCCTCTTCCAGCCCAGTGTCAGTGGTCAGTTTGATCTTCTGCCAACAGAAACAGGAGAGCAGGAGTGGGGTGAGTGTAAAAACACTTTGGACATTGCAGCAGGTCCACAGGATCCTCCTGTGTGAGTGTAAAAACAGTTTGGACATTGCAGGTCTACAGGATCCTCCTGTGTGAGTGTAAAAACACTTTGGACATTGCAGCAGGTCTACAGGATCCTCCTGTGTGAGTGTAAAAACAGTTTGGACATTGCAGGTCTACAGGATCCTCCTGTGTGAGTGTAAAAACACTTTGGACATTGCAGCAGGTCTACAGGATCCTCCTGTGTGAGTGTAAAAACAGTTTGGACACTGCAGCAGGTCCACAGAATCCTCCTGTGTGAGTGTAAAAACAGTTTGGACACTGCAGCAGGTCCACAGAATCTTCCTGTGTGAGTGTAAAAACAGTTTGGACATTGCAGGTCCACAGAATCTTCCTGTGTGAGTGTAAAAACAGTTTGGACACTGCAGCAGGTCCACAGGATCCTCCTGTGTGAGTGTAAAAACAGTTTGGACACTGCAGGTCCACAGAATGCTCCTGTGGCAGTCGGGATGACAGAATGTCCTTCCCAGCACCGCTGGCCAGGGAGTGAAATGTTCCAAAGCACCTAACAGGCATGGGAACTTCAAACCAGGCTCCTGCATCACTCAAGACCATGTTTCAAAATAGTGTTTCTAAGCTGAATTCACAGATTTCTGATGATATTTTCAGGAATGTACCTCATTTCCACTGAAGAAAATATGTTTTAGCTACCTCTTAGACTTTGCAAAGACCTATCATGTTCCTATGGAAGAATAGAACAAGCCAGACGCCAAACTGATTTAACTTCAAAATGTAAATGCCACAGC